TCTCCCCCCCTTCCCCTCCCCCCTCTCCCCTCCCTCTTCCCCTCCTCCCCCCTCCCCCCTCCTGACCCCCCCCCCGACCCCTGACTCCTCCCCTCCCCCCCCGACCCCTCCTGACCCCTCTCCCCCTCCCCCTCCCCTCTTTCCCCTCCCCCCGACCCCTCCCCTCCCCCCTCCCCTCTCCCTTGACCCCTCCCCCCTCCCCCTGATCCCTTCCCCCCCCCCCCCCCCCGCCCCACTCCCCCTCCCCACCCTCCCCCTCTCCCCTCCCCTCTCCCCTTTGACCCCTCTCCCCCTCCCCCTCCCCTCCCCCCTCCCCCTCCTGACCCCTCTCTCCCCTCCCCCCTCCCCTTCCCTCTTCCCCCTCCCCCCCCCGACCCCTCCCCCCGACCCCTCCTGACCCCTCTCCCCCCTCCCCCCTCCCCTCCTCCCCCCGCTCCCCTCCCCCCTCTTCCCCTCCCCCCTCCCCCTCTCCCCTCCCCCTCCCTCTCCCCTTTGACCCCTACCCCTCCCCCCTGACCCCTCTCCGCCCCTCCCCCCCTGACCCTTGACCCCTCCCCTCCCCCCAGCTCCTGGCCGAGGCCGTTGTGGGTCAGGAGGTTCCGGTCCAGGCCCTTTTCCGGAACCCGCTGCCGCGGGGGCTGACGGGAACCGCGCTGCGCATGGAGGGGGCGGGGCTCGCGTGCCCCAAACCGCTGCAGCTGGGGTGAGGGGGGCGGAGCTGTGGGGCGGAGCTGTGGGGGGGAGCTATGGGGGGGCTATGGGGCGGAGCTATGGGGCGGGGGGGGCTATGGGGCGGAGCTATGGGGGGGAGCTATGGGGAGGAGCTATGGGGCGGAGATATGGGGGAGGAGCTATGGGGAGGAGCTGTGGGGCGGAGCTGTGGGGAGGAGCTATGGGGCGGAGCTATGGGGCTGGGGGGGAGCTATGGGGCGGAGCGCTATGGGGCGGGGGGGGGGCTATGGGGGGGAGGTGGGGGGGGCTATGAGGGGATCTATGGGGCTGGGGGGAGCTATGGGGCAGAGCTATGGGGCGCTATGGGGCGGAGCTGTGGGGCAGGGGATATGGGGCGGAGCTATGGGGTGCTATGGGGGGAGCTATGGGGCGCTATGGGGCTGAGGGCGCTATGGGGCGGCGCTATGGGGGAGCTATGGGGCGCTATGGGGCGGAGCTGTGGGGCAGGGGATATGGGGCGGAGCTATGGGGCTGGGGCGGAGCTATGGGGAGCTATGGGGTGGGAGCTATGGGGCGGAGCTATGGGGGGGGAGCTATGGGGAGGGCTATGGGGAGGAGCTATGGGGCTGGGGGAGCTGGGGGGGGGGGCTATGGGGGGGGCTATGGGGCAGGGCTATGGGGCTATGGGGGGGAGCTATGGGGCGGAGCTATGGGGCGGGGGCTATGGGGGGAGCTATGGGGGGGGGGGGCTATGGGGGGAGCTATGGGGAGGGCTATGGGGCGGAGCTATGGGGGAGGAGCTATGGGGAGGAGCTGTGGGGCGGAGCTATGGGGGGGGAGGTATGGGGGGGAGCTATGGGGCAGAGCGCTATGGGGCTGGGGGGGAGCTATGGGGCGGAGCTGTGGGGCGGAGCTATGGGGGGGAGCTATGGGGCAGGGCTATGGGGGGAGCTATGGGGGGAGCTATGGGGGGGAGCTATGGGGGGGGAGCTATGGGGCAGAGCTATGGGGCTGGGGGGAGCTATGGGGGGGAGCTATGGGGCGGAGCTATGGGGCTGGGGGGGAGCTATGGGGCGGAGCTATGGGGCGGAGCTATGGGGCGGAGCTATGGGGCGGACCTATGGGGAGGAGCTATGGGGCGGAGCTATGGGGGGGGGAGCTATGGGGGGGAGCTATGGGGCGGAGCTGTGGGGGGAGCTATGGGGGGGAGCTATGGGGCAGAGCGCTATGGGGCTGGGGGGGAGCTATGGGGCGGAGCTGTGGGGCGGAGCTATGGGGGGGAGCTATGGGGGGGGGAGCTATGGGGCGAGCTATGAGCTATGGGGGAGGAGCTATGGGGAGGAGCTATGGGGAGCTATGGCCCCATAGGGGGGGAGCTATGGGGGGAGCTATGGGGCGCTATGGGGATGGGAGCTATGGGGCGCTATGGGGCGGAGCTATGGGGCGCTATGGGCGGGAGCTATGGGGCTCTATGGGGCGGAGCTATGGCCCCATAGAGAGCCATAGGGGCCCATAGGGGGACCCCATGACCCCCATAGAGCCCCATAGACCCCCATAGAGCCCCATAGAGTATGGGGGGACCCCCATGGGGGGGGAGCTATGGGGATTGGGTTGGGAATTGGGGGGGGGAGTGATTCTGGCTCTATGGGACCCCATAGCGCCCTATAGAGACCCCATAGAGACCCTATATAGCCCCATAGACCCCATAGAGCCTTCATAGACACCCATAGCCCCCCATAGACCCCCATAGACCCCCATAGAGCCCCATAGAGACCCATAGAGACCCCATAGAGCCCCATAGAGACCCATAGAGCCCCATAGACCCCCATAGAGCCCCATAGAGACCCCATAGAGCCCCATAGAGACCCCATAGACCCCCATAGAGACCCATAGAGACCCCATAGAGACCCCATAGAGACCCATAGAGACCCATAGAGACCCCATAGAGACCCCATAGAGACCCCATAGAGCCCCATAGAGACCCCATAGAGCCCCATAGAGCCCCATAGAGCCCCATAGAGACCCCATAGAGACCCATAGAGACCCATAGAGACCCATAGAGACCCCATAGAGACCCATAGAGACCCCATAGAGCCCCATAGAGACCCCATAGAGCCCCATAGAGACCCCATAGAGCCCCATAGAGACCCATAGAGACCCCATAGAGACCCATAGAGACCCATAGAGACCCCATAGAGCCCCATAGAGACCCCATAGAGACCCCATAGAGACCCCATAGAGACCCATAGAGACCCATAGAGCCCCATAGAGACCCATAGAGACCCCATAGAGACCCATAGGAACCCCATAGAGCCCCATAGAGACCCCATAGAGACCCCATAGAGCCCCATACAGAAACCCAGAGCCCCCATAGAGCCCATTAGAGACCCCATAGAGACCCATAGAGCCTAGACCCCCATAGCTCCCCATAGAGCCCCATAGACCCCATAGAGACCCCATAAAGACCCCATAGAGCCCCATAGAGACCCCCATAGACCCCCATAGAGACCCCATAGACCCCCATAGAGACCCCATAGACCCCCATAGACCCCCATAGACAACCCCATAGAGCCCCATAGAGCCCCATAGAGCCCCATAGAGCCCCACAGAGACCCCATGGCTCCCATCCCCCCGCAGGACGGTGGGGGCGGGGCAGTCCGTCCGCCTCTCCCAGGCCGTGCTCCCGCTCCGCGCCGGGCGCCGCCTCCTCGTGGCCACGTTGGAGAGCGCGGAGCTGGCGCCGCTGCACGGGAGGCTCCCATTGGACGTGCGGGAGGCGGGGGGCGGGGCTTCCGAGGGAGGGGGTGGGGGTGGGGAGGGGGAGGGGGGAGGGGAGGGGGGGAGGAGGAGGGGGAGGAGGGGGAGGAGGAGGGGGAGAGGGGGGGAGGGGAGTACGGGGGGGTGAGGGGGGGATGGGGGGCAATGGGGGGCAATGGGGATCGATGGAGTCAATGGGAGTCAATGGGGGTCAATGGGGGTCAATGGAACCAATGGGGGTCAATGGGGGTCAATGGGGGTCAATGGAGTCAATGGGAGTCAATGGGAGTCAATGGGAGTCAATGGAGTCAATGGGAGTCAATGGGAGTCAATGGGGGTCAATGGGGGTCAACGGGGTCAATGGGGGGCGATGGGGGTCAATAGGAGTCAATGGAACCAATGGGGGTCAATGGGGGTCAATGGGGTCAGTGGGGGTTAATGGAATCAATGGGGGGTCAATGGGGGTCAATGGGAGTCAATGGGGGTGAGTGGGGGTTAATGGGGGTCAATGGAGTCAATGGGGAGCGATGGGGGTCAATGGGAGTCAATGGGGGTCAATGGGGGTCAATGGAGTCAATGGGAGTCAATGGGTGTCAATGGAACCAATGGGGGTCAATGGGGGGCAATGGGCTCAATGGAGTCAATGGGGTCAATGGTGGCCAGTGGGGTCAGTGGGGGTCAATGGGGGTCAATGGGGTCAATGGGGGTCAATGGGGGGGCGATGGGGGGCAATGGAATCAATGGTTTTCAATGGGGCTTAATGGGGGTCAATGGGGGGCAATGGGGGTCAATGGAATCAATGGGGGTGGATGGGGGGTGATGGGGGGCGATGGGGGTCACTGGGTCACGGCCCCATAGGGATCAATGGGGCCGCTGTCAACCCCTCCCCCCCTCTGTGTTTTAATCCCCCCCCCCCCCCGTGGAAACGTCCTCGTGACGTCATCCATTAAAGCTCTGCGACGAAAGCGACTCCCGCGTGACGTCACCGCGTGACGTGGGGCGGGGTGAAGTGACGTCACTACGGGAGGGCGGGGAAAAGGGGGGGCGCGGCCTCGCTGACGTCACCGAGAGCGGGAAAAATCCGGGCGGGGAAAGGGGCTGGGCCGCGCGATGACGTCACAAAAGGGCGGGGAAATAAAGGCGAGGGGGGCGTGGCGGCGCTGACGTCACACGGGCAGAGCGCGGGAAACGAGGGAGGGGCGGGGCGAGGAGGGGGCGTGGCCGTCGCGGGCCGCGCGATGACGTCACATAAGGGCGGGGAAATAAAGGCGGGGCGGGGGGGCGTGGCGGCGCTGACGTCACCCTGTCAGAGCGCGGGAAACGACGGATGGGAGGGGCGAGGAGGGGGGCGTGGCCGTCGTGGGCCGCGCGTTGACGTCACATAAAGGCGGGTGGGGGGCGTGGCGACGTTGACGTCACCCCGCTAGAGGGCGGGAATCGAGAGATGGGCGGGGGCGGGGGCGTGGCGGCGGAAACGCGCTGACGTCACTTCCCGCGCGCGGGACCGGCGGCCGCGCCGCGCGGCGCGCTCGGTGCCTCCGTCTCCCTCCTGCCGGCTCCGCAAGCGGAAGTGACGCAATGAGCGACGTCCGGTGAGCGTAAAGGGCGTGGTTAACCCCGCCCACCCCTCCCTCCTCTTCCTTCATATCCGGTTGCTGACTCCGCTCTCCGCCAATCAGGTGCGCGCTGGCCGGGGCGTGGCTGTCGGTGCGCGCGCGGCGCGTGACGCACTTCCCGCGCGTGCTCCGCCTCCTGGCGGCGCTGGAGGCCGCGGCCCCCTCGGCCCTGAGGTACCGGCACCGGGCCAGGCTGCGGCTGGGCCTGCAGGCCGCGGTGAGTCACGTGGGCAGGGGAAACGGGGCGGGGGGGGGGACACACACCCCAACCCCAGCGCCCTATAGAAAGGGGGGCGTATCTGTGGGTCGCGACCTCACCAACATGGCGGCGGTGAGGGGAAAATGGCCGCCGACCTCACCAAGATGGCGGCCGGCACACTCAAAATGGCTGCCGACCTCACCAAGATGGTGGTCGCCACACTCAAAATGGCGACTGAGCTCATTAAGGTAGTCCAAAATAGCCGCCGACCTTGCCAAGATGGCAGCCGCCACACACGATATGGCCGTCGACCTTACCAACATGGCGGCGCCAGGCTAAAAGTGGTTGCCGACCTCACCAAGATGGCGGAGAGAGGGTTAAATTGGCTGCGGACCTTTCCAAGATGGTGGCCGCCACACAGGAAATGGCTGACGACCTCACCAAGATGGCGGCGGCGCACACAACATGGCCGTCGACCTTAGCAACATGGCGGCGCCAGGGTTAAAGTTGTCGCCGACCTCACCAAGATGGAGGCCGCCACTCCCAAAATGGCTGTCTACCTTCCCAAGATGGCGTCTGCCACACTCAAAATGGCTGCCGACACTCAATATGGCGGCTGACACACTCAATATGGCCGCCCCATCACTAAGATGGCGGCCGCAGCGCTGTAAATGGTCCTTGACCTCACCAAGATGGCGGCTGCAACACCCAATGTGGCCGCCGACCCTCACAACATGGCACTCGCCACATTCAAAATGGCTGCCGACCTTCTCAATATGGCGGCCGCCACACTCAAAATGGCCGCGGACCCCCCAAGATGGCTGCCGCCACACACAAAATGGCCGCCGCCAGGGCCACGTGCCCTATCGGCGGTCGCATGTCGCGACATGCCGGCCCTGTCGCGCCGCAGGTGGTGATGGAGATGCTGCGGGAGGCCCGGCCCGAGGCTGACGTCACTTCCGCCGTGGAGCGCTACTTCCCCGAGGGCGGCAGCGGGCAGGCAGGGGGCGGGGCTTCCGGTTGGGGGCAATGGGGGCGAATGGAGGGGGCGTGGCTTACGGAGGGGGCGTGGCTTAGGGTCAATGGAGTGGAGGAGGCGTGGCTTAGGTCAATAGGGGTTAATAAAGGGGGCGTGGCTTAGGGGCAATGGGGGTGAATGGAGGGGGCGTGGCTTAGGGGCAATGAGGGTGAATGGGGGGCGTGGCTTAGGGGTAATGGGCTCAATGAGGGGGCATGGCTTGGGGTAATGGGGGTGAATGGAGGGGGCGTGGCTTAAAGGCAATGGGGGTTTATGGGGGCGTGGCTTAGGGGTGAACGGAGGGGGCGTGACTTAGGGGCAATGGAGGGGGCGTGGCTTAGGTCAATGGGGGTTAATGGGGATGCGTGGCTTAGGGGCAATGGGGGTCAACAGCGGGGGCGTGGCTTAAAGGCAATGGGTGTCAATGGAGGGGGGCGTGGTTTGGGGGTAATGGAGGGGGCGTGGCTTAGGGGCAATGGGGGTGAATGGGGGCGTGGCTTGGGGGCAAATTGTGTCAATGGAGGGGGCGTGGCTTGTGCAGGGGCGTGGCTTGGGGCAATGGGGGTGAATGGGGGGCGTGGCTTAGGGGTAATGGGCTCAATGAGGGGGCGTGGCTTGGGGTAATGGGGGGTGAACGGAGGGGGCGGACTTAGGGGCAATGGAGGGGGCGTGGCTTAAGGGCAATGGAGGGGGCGTGGCTTAGGGGCAATGGAGGGGGCGTGGCTTAGGTCAATGGGGGTTAATGGGGGGCGTGGCTTAGGGGCAATTGGAGTCAATAGTGGGGGCGTGGCTTAAAGGCAATGGGTGTCAATGGAGGAGGCGTGGCTTGGGGCAATGGGGGGGGTGACTGGAGGGGGGCGTGGCTTGCGGAGGGGGCGTGGCCTCTCCCCATAGGAGGAGCCGTGGGTCCAGGAGGCCCAATCCGGGTTCCGGGAGCTGGTGCTGGAGCTGCTGCAGGAGCCGGGGCGGCGGCGGCGATACCTGGAGGTGGGGAGCTATGGGGCACTATGGGGGCTCTATGGGGTATCTATGGGGCTCTATGGGGCTCTATGGGGGCTCTATGGGTCTCTATGGGGGTCTCTATGGGGCTCTATGGGGCTCTATGGGGGCTCTATGGGTCTCTATGGGGGTCTCTATGGGGCGCTATGGGGCTCTATGGGGCTCTATGGGGCTCTATGCGGCTCTATGGGGCTCTATGGGGGCTCTATAGGGTCTCTATGGGGCTCTATAGGTTTCTATGGGGTCTCTATGGGGCTCTATGGGGTATCTATGGGGCTCTATGGAGTCTCTATGGGTCTCTATGAGATCTCTATGGGGCTCTATGGGGTCTCTATAGGGCACTTATGGGTCTCTATGGGGCTTTATGGGGCTCTATGGGGTCTCTATGGGTCTCTATGGGGGCTCTATGGGGCGCTATGGGGCTCTATGGGATCTCTATGGGGCTCTATGGGGTCTCTATGGGGTCTCTATGGGGCTCTATGGGGGCTCTATGGGGCTCTATGGGGGCTCTATGGGGCTCTATGGGGGCTCTATGGGGGGGGGTGTCTATGGGGTCTCTATGGGTCTCTATGGGGGTCTCTATTTGTCCCTATGGGTCTCTATGGGGCTCTCTGGGTCTCTATGAGATCTCTATGGGGTTTCTATGGGGTCTCTATGGGGTCTCTATGGGGGTCTCTATGGGGGTCTCTGGGGTTTCTATGAGGGTCTCTATGGGGGTCCCTATGGGTCTCTATGGGTCTCTATGGGGCTCAATGGGTGTCTATGGGGGTCTCTATGTCTATGTGTCCCTATGGGGTCTCTATGACTCCCTATGGTGTCTCTATGGGTCTCTATGGGTCCCTATGTGTCTCTATGGGTCTCTATGGGTCCCTATGGGTCTCTATGGGTCTCTATGGGTCTCTATGGGTCTCTATGGGGTCTCTATGGGTCTCTATGGGTCTCTATGGGGTCTCTATGGCTCCCTATGGGTCTCTATGGGTCTCTATGGGTCTCTATGGGTCTCTATGGGGTCTCTATGGGTCCCTATGGGTCTCTATGGGTCTCTATGGGTCTCTATGGGTCTCTATGGGTCTCTATGTGTCTCTATGTGTCTCTATGGGTCTCTATGGGGTCTCTATGTGTCCCTATGGGGTCTCTATGGGTCCCGCAGACCCAGGCCCCCCAGGACTATGGGGCTCGGTTCCTGGGCTCCCTGGAGGCTCTGTTCCACGAGCTGCTGCTGCGGGTGGAGAGCGCCTTGCCCCGCCCACACCTGCCCCAGGTGGGCGGGGCCTCGCCTT